TAATTTCACCACTGGAAATGTACCATTATATAAACAAAACTGATGCTCCATCTCAGAAGCCAAGGGAAGAACGTATTCTCAGAACAGGAGGGAGTAAAAAACATTGTTAACTGTTGTTGACAATGAGAAACAGAAAAGTAGGGCTTCCCTGGTGGTGCAGTGGAGAAGAATCTGCCTGCCAATGCAGGGGACACAGGTTTGATCCCTGGTCTGGGAAGATCCCACATGCTGCGGAGCAACTAAGCCCGTGAGCCACAACTACTGAGCCTGCGCTCTATGAGACCACGAGCCACAACTACGGAAGCCCGCATACCACAACTACTGAAGCTCGTGCACCTAGAGCCTGTGCTCCACAACAAGAGAAGCCACTGCAATGAGAAGCCCGTGTACCACAACGAAGAGCGGGCCCCACTCACCACCACTAGAGAAAGCCCATGTGCAGCAACGAAGACCCAACACAGCCCCAAATAAATAAATAAAATAAAAATTAAAAAAAAAAAAGAAAAGAAACAGAAAAGTAATAAAGTGCTATTAGGCCTTGGGGTTTGGTGATGATACAGCTGTTGGAGACCTTCAACTGAACAGGTTCAGGAGAACATTAACCCCAGAATAGAGGGGCTTGCGTGATATATGAACAAGAGTGCAGGAAGCAGGGCTGTGGATACAGACTACATTCTGCCAATGTAAATAGCTGTGAAGGTAAGAAAACAGCTTTACTGCTGCTGCTTCTTGTTTAACCAATAGTTTTGTGGATGAAATGGAAAGGGAGTTAGATAAACTTACTGGTTGAAAAAAATCACTGGAAAATAACACAGCATCATAATGGACTTGATCAGCATCTACACTCATCAAATGGTACACTTAAGATTTGTACATTTTTCTAAATGTAAACTTTACCTCAAAAAAAGAAAGAATCATAAACCAACACTGAACTCTAGTTATTGATATGAATGCTAAAGTGTTTAGGAGTGAAGTATACTGATGTCTGCAACTTACTCTGAAATGCATTAAAAAAAATAAGGTGGATGGATAGAGAGGTGAATAGGTGGGTAGATATGTGATAAAGCAAATGTGGCAAATGCTAACACTAGAATCTAGACGGTGTGTTCACTGATGGTTATTTCAACTTTTCTGTATTTTGAAAAAGTTCATATAAAATGCTGAAGAAAAGGCAACCACCATAAAGCTACAGACTGACTTCCAATCTACATTATTTATTTATTTATTTATTTATTTTTGCGGTACGCGGGCCTCTCACTGTTGTGGCCTATCCCGTTGCGGAGCACAGGCTCCGGACGTGCAGGCTCAGCGGCCATGGCCCACGGGCCCAGCCGCTCCACGGCACGTGGGATCTTCCCGGACTGGGGCATGAACCCGTGTCCCCTGCATCGGCAGGCGGACTCTCAACCACTGCGCCACCAGGGAAGCCCCAATCTACATAATTTAGTCAACATTAAGACATTCTAAAGATTGAAGATTCAGAAAGCCTTACCTTCGTGAAGAGGTGTACAGAGAGATGATAAATGGCCAGCACTCACCTACAGACTGAGATGTGAATGCTGCTACAATCTGGGGGCTGGCCAAGGCCTCCAGCCTGTTCTTCAACGCCTCCAAGTGCACACATTTTTCTGAGTAGTCTGGTGTATCAACAAGCATCATTAGGCTATTCTGCATACCTGTGAGCTTGGCAGAAATTACAGCTATGTCCTATAAAAAGACCAGAATAGAGGATATTTATGTTAAAACACCCCTGCTACTTCAATTAAGAATGGACAAGGCTTCCCTGGTGGCTCAGTGGTTAAGAATCTGCCTGCCAATGCAGGGGACACGGGTTCAAGCTCTGGTCCAGGAAGATCCCACAAGCCACAGAGCAACTAAGCCCATGCGCCACAACTACTGAGCCTGCGCTCTAGAGTCTGCGAGCCACAACTACTGAGCCCGAGCACCACAACTACTGAAGCCCACGTGCCTAGAGCCCGTGTTCCCCAACAAGAGAAGCCACCACAATGAGAAGCCCACACACCGCCACGAAGAGTAGCCCCCGCTCGCCACAACTAGAGAAAGCCCGAGCACAGCAATGAAGACCCAACGCAGCCAAAAATAATAAATAAAATTTTTTTAAAAAGGTAACAATAACTGACAGAATAATAGATTGTTGACTGAAAAAAAAACGTGCGAAGCAGTATTCACAATGCGCTACCATTTGTGGGGGAAAAACAGGGCAAGGAACATATATGTGTGTGCGTTTATCTGGAAGAACAGGCAGGCACAGAGCTCACAACAGGGTTTGTATTTAGAAGGGAAATTAGGGAATTGGGAGGGTTAGAACTATGAGAAAGACTTATTTTTCACTGTTTATTCCTGTTTACTCAATTTTTCCCATGTGCATTTAGAACTTTTAAAAAACTTTTTAAAGTTATTTTTTAAATAGCAAAAGAGATGATAAATAATTCATTTTGTTTTACAATTGAAAAAAAAGTTTTTTATATCATCTTACTTCATCCTTATAACCAGGTAGCAAAAATATCACTATTTTCCACACTTTGCTATCCAAGGAGGGTAAAGTAACTGGCTAAGGTCCCACAGTGTGTAGGGCACCCCTGCCCAAGTTCCACACTCCCATTTACTCCATTTTCTCTGCCTTTTTAAGCTTTTCCTGAACTCACTTTTGTGACTAAAACGCTTCAGTCAAGCAGATGACACAAACTAAAGAAGGTGGAAAAACTCAGAGCAGTCTCAGATCGCCCCCAACCTATGCCTGAATATTCCCATACCTGGCTATTTACTAGCCCTTCTGATTGTGAGTGCATAGCTAGCTCATTTGTTTCTCCAAACCTCAAGTTCCTGCTTAAAGAGATGTCACAACATCCCCTAAACAAGAAACCTACTTGAGTCTTAAATGTCTCCTCGATATCAGCACTCAGTGTGCTCCATTTGTCGGCTTCTTGAAGAGATTCTGCAGCAAGCTGCATTCGGGACTTCACCTGGTCGATTTCTACCAATACCTAGAAGAGAAATGAGGGGTCGAACACTAAAGAAGTGGCAGGTCCATTTCCTCTACCTTCCATCAGCAACTCGAAACGTAAGTATCGTGGCATGCTCCTGCCTTTAGGGAGCCTCTGTACCCCATACAACACCGATTACTAAATTGTTCAGCGGTGCTAAAGAGAGATGAATAAGCTGAAAGAACCAAACAAAAGAGTAGTCTGAGTGCTTGGCACAATTTTGAGTTAAGGTTGACCTCCCACTAGGAAAGTGAACATCTTCCAAAAACAAGAGTCAACACTTAGGACAGGAGCCAAAATACCTGCATCGACTGAGATGTGTCCTGTTCAAATTTTTTAATGTCCTCCTTGACAAGAATCATTTGTTCTTTCAGAAAAGATGCCTCCTGTTTAAGGGCTTCTACATCACGGAGCACTTTGGGCATGTTCTGAAGGGCCTGGTGACTTGTTTCTGCAGCAAGAACCCAAGAACCAAAGGTGAACGTCAGATCACTCACCAGTGAGCAATATGAATAAATCAGACGGCAGGAAGCAAATCTTCCCTAAGGCACTTCCAACCACGCAGTTTTCTGAGCCTGTGGAAAGTTGTGGTGGGGGAGAGGTGCAGAGCTGGCCTATGCGGGTCCCTGTCTTCCCCAGAATGATGGTGAGGGCCCTGTGAATAAACTGTCAATCTGACCCAACATCAGCTGTCTTCTTACTACAACTCCTTGGGTTTTTGGTTTTTTTTTTTTTTTGGCCACACCACATGGCTTTTGGGGTCTTAGGTTCCCCAACCAGGGATTGAGCCTGGACCCTGGCAGTGAAAGCACCGAGTCCTAACCTCTGGACCGCCAGGGAACTCCCAAGCAACTCCCTTTTCAAGGAAGGAGAATGGAGGAACGTGACAGTGGTAAATGCCAACTCTGCACCAGGTGCTTTATATACATTATATCACCTAATGTCCACGGCAATCATTAGCAGCGACCTCTTACAGATGAGAAAACTAAGTCTCAGAAGAGGTTAAGTAACTTGCCCAAGATTTCAGAACTGAAACCAATGTGTGTCTGGACCCAATGTCTGCTTTCCACAGTCTTTTCAAAATGTAGTCCACAGACCAACAGCATCAGCTGGAATGCAGTTAAAATGCAGGTCCCCAGGCCACATGCCAGAGATTCTTATTTAGGAATCCTGGTGGAAGATCAAGATCAAGGAACCTGCATTTTTTTAACAGGCATCCCAAGTGTAGAATAAAATCTGAAAATTCTTGCAGACCATGACGTGTTATCTGGAAACAGGAGGGTTAACAGCATAACCCTATAGCCCTTTAAATAGCAATTCGCTGGGGAATCAACCAAAGAAGTCCAGAGCCTTCTGCTCCACCAGTGCATTGAACGGAACCTTAACATCTTGAAGACGTGCTTCAGGAACCTGTTCATCCAGCTCTGCCATAAAATAACAATCTGTCTCCAGCACTGACCTTAAGTAAAGTTTTAAGAAAACAAAGGCAGAACAAAGAGTTCTTCGAGGCACAGAGACTTCACTGATTTTTTTTTTTTTTTTTTTTTTTTTTTGGCTGAGTTGGGTCTTTGTTGCTGCACGCGGGCTTTCTCTAGTTGCGGTGAGCTGGGGCTACTCATCGTTGCAGTATGCGGGTTTCTCATCGCAGTGGCTTCTCTTGCCGTGGAGCACGGGCTCTAGGTGCACGGGTTTCAGTAGTTGTGGCGCACGGGCTTAGTTGCTCCGTGGCATGTGGATCTTCCTGGACCAGGGCTACGAACTCCTGTCCCCTGCATTGGCAGGCGAATTCTTAACCACTGTTCCACCAGGGAACAGTGATTTCTACAGGCGCTCATTTTTACAGCACTGTCATGGTCCCAGCCTGGCCCCCTGCCTGCGGAACCTCAGAGTCACTCTTCATGTCTGGCTGAACCTCTTCTTCCCTCTCCACAACACGCCCACACATAAATTTAATTCTTTCTAGTATCCATTTTAAAACTATCACCTCATGGGAATTCCCTGGCAGTCCAGTGGTTAGAACTCTGCACTTCCACTGCAGAGGGCTTGGGTTCGATCCCCAGTTGGGGAACTAAGACACCACGAACCTTGCAGTGTGGCCAAAAAAAAGCAAAACAAACAAACAAACAAACTCTCACCTCCAGTGGTTGTCTCTGGGAGGGTAAGGGCCAAATCTCCCTGTGAAAGGGGACTGAGGCTCCTCCCGAAGTGATGGTAACATTCTACATCTTGATGGGGGGTTGAGTTACACTAGCGTATACATCTGTCAAAACCCAAACTTATCAGATAAGGTCCCTCCATTTCACCTTATGTAAATTTTATCTAGTAAAAAAAAGAGCCGTAACAAGTACTGAACTCTATAATTTTTAGGGTTCCAACTGAAATGTCTAGGGGTGAAGTGTACTGATGTCTGTAACTTACTCTGAAATACTGATTTATTTCGAAATCAAAAATAAGATGGACGAATGGATGGACAGAGGGATGGATAGAACTGTGATAAAGCGAGAATAGCACACTGCTCATTGTAGAATCTAGGTAGTGGGTTATGAATGTTTACTAAAAATTCTCTCAACATTGCTGAACACTTGGCACCTCCATCCAGTTGCTCAGTTCAAGAATCTACCATCATTCTTGATTTTCTTCCCCTTTCATCCCTCATTCCAATCCATCAGCAAGTTCTCCCCTTTCTTCCTCCTAAAAAATACCTTAAATCTACCCATTTCTCACCATCTCTAATGCTATAACCTCAGACGAAGCCACTGTCACCTCTCTTCTGGACTACAGCCATAGTCTCCTGAATGGGGACATAAATCAAACCATCTCATTCCCCTGCTTAAACATCCTCCAGTACCTTCCCATTACACTAATTTTAAACCAAATCAAAACTCTTTAATGTGACATTAAAATCCCTGCATGGGGACTTCCCTGGTGGCGCAGTGGTTAAGAATCTGCCTACCAATGCAGGGGACACGGGTTCAAGCCCTGGTCCAGGAAGATCCCACATGCCGCGGAGCAACTAAGCCCGTGCGCCACATCTACTGAGCCTGCGCTCTAGAGCCTGCAAGCCACAACTAATGAGCCCATGTGCCACAACTACTGAAGCCCACGTGCCTAGAGCCCGTGCTCCGCAACAAGAGAAGCCACCACAATGAGAAGCCCGCGCACCACAACAAAGAGTAGCCCCCGCACGCCGCAACTAGAGAAAGCCCGTGCACAGCAATGAAGACCGAACATAGCCAAAAATAAATAAAATAAATAAATTTAAAATAAATAAAAGAACTATAAAAAAATAGAAAAAAATATCCCTGCATTCCCAAAAAAAAGAATTTAAAAAACTTAAAATAAAGAAAAAAAAAGAATCTGTGCTTCCACTGCAGGGGGCGCGGGTTTGATCCCTGGTTGGGGAACTAAGATCCTACATGCTGTGCAGTGCGGCCAAAAAAAAAAAAAAAACCAAACAAACAAACCAAAGAGGGACTTCCCTGGTGGCACAGTGGTTAAGAATCCGCCTGCCAATGCAGGGGACACGGGTTTGAGCCCTGGTCCGGGAAGATCCCACATGCCGCGGAGCAACTAAGCCCGTGCACCACAGCTACTGAGCCTGTGCTCTAGAGCCCGCAAGCCACAACTACTGAGCCCGCGTGCCACAACTACTGAAGCCTGTGCGCCTAGAGCCCATGCTCCGTGCCTAGAGCCCATGCTCTGCAACAAGAGAAGCCACCGCAATGAGAAGCCCACGCACTGCAACGAAGAGTAGTCCCTGCTCGCCACAACTAGAGAAAGCCTGCGCACAGCAACAAGGAACCAATGCAGCCAAAAATAAATAAATAAATTTATAAAATTAAAAAAAAACAAACAAAGAAAACAGGGGTGGTAATGCCACCCCTGCACCCCCCCAACATTCGGAAGTTGGTAGGAATTTTTTAGTTGTTGCTATGGTAGGACATTTAGTGGAAATGACCCAACAATGCTTAATGTCCTGCAGTGCTTGGGAGAGTCCTGAGCAATGAAGAAGTGTCCTGGCCAAACTGTTAATAGTGCCCCCTCCCCTTGGCATGATTATCTAATTTTAAAATGACAGTAATCCTTAGAGATAGGCATAGTTATTATTCCCACTTTATAGTTGTAGAAACTGCAGCTGAGGTCAGTAACTTGCCCAGCATCATGTTGCTAATGAATGGGGAGCCTGGATTTGAATCCAGGCAACTGGTTCCAGATCCCAGGCTGTTATCCATTATACTTTACTATCTCTCTGGTATTAAAGGGAGAGGGAACATGCAGAGGCATGTGGGTATAAAAAGGCCTAACCAGTCCAGAGAAAGGCGGGAAGTTCAAACAGAGCTTCATCAATAACATCAATAAATATTAGTCATTAGTGTTATTATTACTGAAGGATTGCACTTTCATGGGAGGAACTTCTGCTGGAGATAAGGTAGAAAAGTAGGTTAGGATCAAATTGTGAAAGATGCTTTGCCCATCCTGAAGGTTTGAATTTCATCCCGTGGGCAGTGAGAAGGCTTTGGAGGTTTAAAGCTTTATTTTTATGGACGATGAAACAAGGTCCCAAGTCTGCAGTGAAGAGAAGTTATTGCAGAGGCTCAAACAGGAGTTGTTGAGGAACTCTAATAGGAGGATTGATTTGTTCATTTATTCAATCAGTGGATATTTATTGGGCACAAACTGTTTTCCAGGGTCTGGAGATACAATGTTGAACAAGATCTATTCTTGGGTTGGAGACGTTGGCAGGAGCCAGATCATGCAGGGATTATTTATTTATATACTTACTTAAAAAATTTTTTTGGCTGCATTGGGTCTTAGTTGCAGCACTGGGGTCTTCTTCGTTGAGGTGTGTGGGATATTTTGTTGCGGTGCGGGCTTCCCTCTAGTTGTGGCGTGTGGGTTTCCTCTCTCTAGTTGTGGCGCATGGGCTCCCGAGCGCGTGGGCTCTGTAGTTTGCAGCACACAGGCTCTCTCATTGAGGTGCACGAGATCAGTAGTTGCAGTGTGCGGGCTTAGTTGCCCCGCAGCATGTGGGATCTTAGTTCCCCGACCAGGGATCGAGCCTGCGTCCTGTGCACTGGAAGGTGGATGTTTTGTTTTTGTTTTTTTTGGTTGCTTTGGGTCTTTGTTGCTGCACGTGGGCTTTCTCTAGTTTTGGCGAGCGGGAGCTACTCTTCGTTGCAGTGCGTGGGTTTCTCAAGGCGGTGGCTTCTCTTGCTGTGGAGCACGGGCTCTAGGCACGCGGGCTCAGTAATTGTGGCTCACGGGCTCCAGAGCGCAGGCTCAGTAGTTGTGGCGCACGGGCTTAGTTGCTCCGCGGCATGTGGGATCTTCCCGGACCAGGGATTGAACCGGTGTACCTTGCATTGGCAGGCGGACCAGAGAAGTCCCACCACCCCTGTTGAGAACCACTTAGTTAATGCATATAAAGTACTTAAAACAGTGCCTGATGTATACCAAGGATTCAGACATTTGCGATTATATTATTATTAGTGTCCTCCCCATCTTGGCCCTGTGAGGTCTTCCTTCAAGGCCTAACACAGGGAAAAGCCCTTTATGATTCTCCCAGACAAGAGATAATTGCTTGCTTCATCCAGCTCTCAGCTTCCGGTTCTACTCTCAGTAAAGCCACCCTTCACTGTAATTAAACAGTTCACGTATGCTCCCCACAGGGCAGCAAGCTCTAGAAAGGTAAACTTTTCATCCCCAGAACTCTTTCTTGGCAGGTGCATAGTAGATGCTCAATAATTACTAAAAGATGCAAAGTACAATAAAGAATCTGCAGTGAAATAAAGCGTCCCCCCACCTCCACCTTTTCTTAAACAGTGGACACATCTACAAAACAAAGTTCTATTTACAGGACCATAAGCTCCCAGCGTGGGCAGTCTGAGCCTCTTTCCCACAGAGCCGAACAGAGAGACTGGCTGCAGTATGCACTGAATAAACATACAGTGAATGAAAACCAGGTCGAGGAGTTAATGAAATGGTTCTGGTGTGTCATTTTTTATAATTCACTATTCTGGTTAGTGAATTCAATACTTAAAAGTCTCCCGTCAGGACAGCCTATCTTCCCACTGACATAAAGATCCACTAAAACAGGGGCGGTGGGGAGTGTTGGATTGGGAGTTTGGGATTAGCAGATGCAAACTATTATATACAGGATGGATAAACAACAAGGTCCTACTGTATAGCACAGGGAGCCATATTCAAGATCCTGTGATGAACCATAATGGAAAAGAATATGAAAAAGAATGTGTATATATAGATATATATATAAATATAGATATATATAAAACTGAATCACTTTGCTGTACAGTAGAAATTAACACAACATTGTAAATCAACTGTACTTCAATAAAACAATTTTTTTAATCCATTAAAACAATGTTTCCCAGATTTGTCATTCCTATACACCTTCTATATGTTTTTTTGCCAAATGTAAGGATCAGTTGACTATTATTTAATATTCTTAAAATTCACTCTTTTGAGTTTTAAAAGGAAACTTGACAGCACCGCCAGAGGTGGAAAACCAAGATCCCAAGTCCGCAAGTGTTGCAGAGAGAGAGGAGTAGCGGGCTGAGACCTTCTCCTGGATATCCCAGTAAGGACTGCGGGAGAACCGGAGCAGGGCTCGCTCGCTCTCCATGGGAGGCGCCGACGTTTACCGCGCACTACGTGCAACCCCGGGGGCCCCGGGCCCGTCTGGGAGCTCTGCCCGGCCGCTTACCCTCCACGGCGTGGTTCACCTCCTGGATGAACAGCTGCAGCTTCATCACCAGGGTGGCCGCGTGGCTGTCCGCCTTCCCGGCCGCCACCTCCTTGGGGCCAGCCCTGAAGGCCGCGTTGATCCACTCCTTCACGTCGAAGTCTTCGGCAAGGAACTTGGAGAAGTCCATGGCTGCACCGCCGCACCCCAGCGTCCAGGCCTGAAGGGCTGGCTCTGGGCGTCCGCGAGGCTGCAGAAGCGAGCGGCCCTGCGAGAGCACCCACGCGGGTCCGTGAGGCGGCGGGCCGGGATTGACGGCGCCGCCAACTAGCCTCTCCACAGCCCCTCAGTCAGCTCGCTGATGT